TTCCAGTCTTCTGTTCACAACGCACAACACTGCCGTCGCGATGTTTCTGCTATGTTGCTGACACGCAGAAAAACAAAATCACGTTGATTGCCTGTTGGCGCTCGACATCAGAAAACAGAACCGATCTCGGCGCAAAAGACACGCAGGCACCAGGCAGCAAAACCTGCCTGTCTTCGACACAGTTTCGTGGTTTTCATAAAGTCGTCAACGTCGACACGCCGTTCCACAATCCGCAGGCGTCCATGTTAGCCCAGTGTACGTAGCGCTGTTGGCACTGGTTCGGAACTTTGCTATTTTAACGCTTCATTTGCTCGTACGAAAAAAAAAAAAAAGTAGTGGTGAAAACGTTAATGCAACCGAAATGTCTGCACGTTTGGACTAAAAGACTGAATTACAGGCGGCCCCGCTGCCGCTGAAGCTTAATCAACTCAACAACATTTATTAAACAACACGCGCGACGTGCTTGAGAAACGAAAGCAACTTAAGATGAGGAGGGAGGGCGGACCCTTCCTTCCCGTCTGCATGGAGAAGGAGAAAACTCGTTCCTCCCTCCTTCTCGTGTCCACTTGGGGGCGCGCCAGTAAAAGGAAAGAAAACGCACGGTTGCGATTGTTTTCCTCTTCTGTCTTTTTAGAGTGCACGCCTGCAAGTGCTGGGCAGAGATACTCCAAAAAGTATTCGGGAATACAAATACTAAGATACATTTGTCTTTTATGCAACCGGATATTCCTGAGAGTCTTCTGCATAACCGACGAAAAAGTATCCGAAATAAAGACACTTACGGAAATACATTTGTTCCCGAACTGTGCTAGGTGGAGAGGGTGCAGTTCGTGGCAAATACGAAAGGTAATTCGTGTTCGCGCTCCTTTCTTGTGCCATTTTATGTTGTCTTATTTACCTCGAACTCTCTATTAATCATTGATGCCGCTAAAGAAAACATGTCACCCCCATTGAACCACCGAGTTACAGAACGGTAAAGAGTGCGAGCCATGCTTGACAAAAGGCGTCTGCCCGATATGAACCCTGTTTTGCCCTGAGGGCGCATCTGAAATTGCTTTATTATAATAAGCCTTTGAGTCTCCCGTAGTGCAGGGAGATTGGACAACAGGATTATACTTTTTCTTCAGTCAAATCCTTTACAGCGTTCTTTCTGCTAAATTGGAAAGAGTGAAGGGCTTTGTGAGAGGAGCTGATCTTGCGGTTCTTGCCCGTAAATGTTTTTTGAACACTGTTTTCTTTTAATGTCGGTGACTGAGAAATTAATTTTGATATGGGGCGGGTTCATATTATAAATTACGAAGCAACTTGCACCAAAAAAGTGTTTTTATCTTTCGAATTTACCTTAAAAAAGTCAACAAATGTAACAAGATACCTAAGTCCGGCGAAGTATCGCGATTCAAGCAATATATTTTAAATGTAATTCACTACTGAGATACCAATACATTTTTGAAATGTATCTCGATACAAAGATACAGATACTCAAAAATATCGCTAAGATATAAATGCGATGCATTCGTATTGCGATACTGCCCAGCCCTGATCTGAATGAGCCTCGTACCGGTGTACGGGCGTGTTATCAGTACCGGTAGAGGCACGATAAGGTCCCCAGGCTAGCAGGTGTGCTGCGGTGGCAGAATGCGTTATCCAGAGTACAAACGCCAGAGGACCATTGTGGCTAACTTGCTTGCAGTTGCGTAAACATCCCCATAACGAAATTAGTAATTCAATATCCCTTCAGTGCACCGCAGTAGGCGTTACCCAGAGAGTATCTAAGCCGCGACGGCCAATTTTCTTCAATAATCGGAAGTCAAAGTTCAATCTTAAAGCACGCTGCGCGTGTTTTCCGGCTTCAGAAATGTCCAGTTTTTCGAGACGCAAGTCAGTCTAACGGTAGAATCAAGTCGGGGAAATTGTGTACGGAGTTTCATCAAATAAAACAAGAATTGAGGTTAATGGTCAGGCTGTCCAGTTTTATCAATCCCTAGAATGATCCAACACGTGTTGGTAGTTCAGTGAGTAGCCGCGTTGGGGATTGCCCTAGACGTTCACTGACGAACATTGTCGAGATATGAGTTGATAGATTGTCCATTCCAGTCGCCGAGCTTTTCTTTGATAAAAATTGAACGTTTAGTGTTTATACAGCGTAAGGTTGGTCTGCCACGATGGGGCATCACTGGTTAACACTCTAGGTGAGCAATTTTGTCAGTGCAGTAGGATTGCTAACCTGGAATCTTTGACGTGCTCACGCAGTAGTGATACAGGGCCGCATGCCGGAACGATGCTCATCCAGATCGAATTTTTTTATAAAGCGAGGTGGAAGTACATCTCTTTGGGTGGTGTGAGAACCGCTTGCCCGAAACGTTGAAAATGCATTTCACTGCTGCGCAATTAAATGTAGGGCTTCTGAATCAAGAAGGCGAACCCGTATGGGTATTTCATATTTTTTTGATGTCACAAATGATTAACCAACATTTAAAGGGAATATTTTCATTGGTAGTTAATAAATCTACCTGAATGTATGTCTACGATTTTCCAATATTTCTTGACACGAGGGAAAATGAAATCGCAAAAATTAGGCATGTAGTCAATCGGATGCTTTTGAATGTAAATGCTGCTAGCTATTACAATGTTACCCGAGCAAAGAGCAGTAAACGTAGAGTTTTACCTCGAAGAGCTACAACGAATTTGAAGAGCTCGCAGTTGCATACGATTCTCCTCTTTTTGCGTTCAGACAAAGTTGATTAATCTTTCCCAACCTCCATACCTCATTAAAAACATGTGAAGCCCACCACGTTTCTATGAGAAGTCGCGATAAGGAGTTAACAATTTTTTTTTAAAATGACTATTATAATATCTTGAAAGGTTTGTAAGGCCTGACGATATCCTTCCCGGAGAAGACCTGAAAACTCCTGTCGCGATTTCTGACATGGCAGAGGACGTGACCCTTGATGATCGAAATTTGCGCGTCGGGGAATCTGCGCGTCGGACACACCGAACTGTCTTTCCAGGTCGACCTCTCGTCTCACCCGTAAACGGAAGGGGGGGGGGGGGGGGGAATCTCCTGCAGCAACTGCAAAAGCAGTGTGCAGCTGCGAAGGTGACTACAAAAGTTTTCAGACACTCGTCGGTTACCCAAGATATTTTGTTCCGACTGTTGCATCTTTTTCAAGTATTCTTTTTGACATTGTACAGAACGGCCTATCCTTCAAAATCAAGTCTGGAAGCACTGGCTCCACTGGGTATCTTGCACTTTCTTAGAGTGTTCTTGGTACTATGTGACAGCATATTCAGTAGTAAGAAATTACTGACCGAGAAAATTTGTTTCAATTCATCTACAAAATTAAGAGTTGCATAACGCAAGGTCGCGATTGTAGAGCGGATGAGTGATCAGATCCCCGATTGTCTTCGAGGAAGTTAGGAGTCATGTTGGCACAGCGGGCTGTTTCATTGCCATGGGGTAGATGGATTCCCTCTAACTAAGACCTGTCGCCTTTCACGATTTTTTAGAGAATTCCTGATACGCGAAGTGTAGAATACCTTTGTGCAGTGACTGTTTGGTTTTCGATAGCAACCGTGACGATGAGTGCACTGATGAAGAAGGTTTCCACTAGTTTATTTCTTACGCTTGTTAAACTCCTGGCCTTCAGTGACGGGGTTTTTGTTGGAAAGACCCAAATAAATTATCTGGCGCTTAATATCAAGATTATACTGTAGGTCCAACTTTAGTCGTGTATTACCTAGTCGAAAACACTCCTAGTGCCACATCTTAGGTAAATGTGCAGCATCTTCTGGCGCCATTTCACCCGTGCTTGTTTTTTAGCTTTCGTCGAACTGTGTGACATAGAGTGAAGTCAAAGTTTTCTCAGACGAAATTTTGTGTGCAGGATCGTGGAGAGACTTAACGACCCCACACGGATTGCCCACAGAGCATAGGATTATGAAACCGTGTTGGTCACCTACATGGTTTCCACAGTCCTGTGGGTCTGCGGGCTCCACAGGCTATGCGGAGACCTTTAGGGACCCACACAAACCATGCGGGAACCCCCATAGGAACCCACACCCACAGAAACTATGTGGGGACCCATAGAGACCCATAGACCTACAGGCACTATGCGGGGACCCATACACCTGCTTAATTTCTGTGGGACCCACAGGTCTCATAATCCAACAGATCTGCGGGTTTTTGGAGCGGGGATACCTACCTACCATTCAAAGTATAGATATAAATATAAATGGAAGCTAAAGAGCATTCAAAGAGAAGGATCTGTGGTCAAGTGTGCTATTGCATCGAAGCGCGGGGGACCTTGGTTCGGGTATGAGATGCAACTGAAACACTACAACTGGTAATTGCTAGAAAGGTTATGACACCTGGAAGAGTAAAAAAATAATCAGGAAAACCACCAAGCAGCTAGCTAAAGTCGGGAAAAACAACCAGTGTAAGTGGCATACTGGCATGCAACGAAGCACCACGGTGCATCAGCATGCCCGCACTGAACATATTGTAAAATACCAAGCAAGTGCCCACTCAAACTTTGGAGATATTCACAAAAAATGGGAGGTGGGCCCTTTTCCGCTCATCAATTTTACATATAAATGCACTCTGTGTATTTTCTCAGATCCTACAGATTTGGGAATGGGCGCTTAGTGTGGTGTGGGCGGATGCACGATATTCTACTGTAGTCAGTGAAAACTTGAAAAAGTCAGAGAATTTAAAAGAAGCAATTTGGAAGACACCCTGATCAAGCAGATAAATTAAAATTAAAACTGGTGACATATTAAGACTGCAGCCCAGCCTGCATCAGTTAATTTCAAGAAGATTGGGAACCTTACAAACAAACGTAGAGTTCTCAACATCCACTCGCACTGCCTTCCTCAAAAGTGCCGAAACAGCGAAAATTTCGAGGGAGGAAAACTCCCCAACTGCAATATGGGGAGCACCACAAAATGCTGCATCCTCAACTTCGAGTACCTCCACAATTAAACCAACTTCCTATGCACTGTTAAGCATGTAAGAAAAAATCGAACGAATAATGCCAAACTTTTCGCCTTGAAGAACTACAACAGTGTCGTTGCTTCTTTGAGGACGTGAGTATTGAGCTGATTGGTACACAACTCCTCCAGCGATGAATCTTAAGAAGACTGAAAGACATGAAGAAACTGTATTAAGGGCAGTGATAATGCATCGTTTTTCGGCATTACTGAACTTGGACGGCTGTGTAACGCCAGAAGTGTAACGCTAGACACTGTGTCCCCCGAGTGGCACCTTTTCTTATCCTTGAAAATTGCAAGGGATCTCTTGATTACATCCATTCCTTTAGTTAGGACACAAAAATTTACAGACTGCTTAAGTATAGCTTCGTGTAACACCTGCATTGCTACTCGACGGTTGCCTTTGATAGATTTAACCGAAACGCCATGGTACGACTTAAAGCAGAAGGCGGAACGGGTCCACAAAAGCCCCCAACGAAAAACATCCTTTGACAGGTGCTGGAGTAAGTGAACGTTGAAAACCATGTTGATGTCCCCATGTAGCATATTGTATTTCATCACAAATTCCGTTAACAAAATTTTGGCCATGTTAATGTCGGGAGCATTTCGCTAAGGCCGATAGTCGCATTACGGCCGAGAGTGCATTAAGGCCGAGAGGGGCGAAAGGGCCGGGGGTGGCCTTGAGGCCGAATAGGGCATAACGGCCGAGCACTGCATTAAGGCCGATAGCCTCTGAATGGGCTGGTTTGGCTGCCTTCTCGGGGGTCGCGTTGTGGTTGACTACTTTAGTTGCCGCTAAATAAGATAGATGCCACCACCTTGAGCATGGCGGATAAAATTAACATATTTTCAGTCTCGTTAATCGCCGTGGTCTCTTCTCAGATTACAATGATTGGCGCTCCGAATACTATAAGCCACTTAATTTCGAGAGGACCTAATTTTTGCCTATCGCCTACAATTCGCGAAAAATAGGTCCCGCGAACGATTCCGTTCAAATATAAACACATCAGAATCTATATTGAGATCTTGCTGCATCGCGAAAAGTAGAACCCGCACACTATGCCAAGTTTTGACTAAGCTTTGACCTAATTGCCAAAAGTAAGTCGTTTACAATATTCTGCAAGAAAGTATACTTATGACATTTTTAAGAGTGTATCTGTCGGTGCACTGCAAATGCTGCGGTTTTGGGTTTGTTTTCATTCTTCACGGCCAGCAACAGCCAGTACGCCGGCCTTGCCGATTTTTTCATTTATTTATTTGCTTTTCTACGTTTTATCATTTCTTCATTGTTTGATCAGTGGTTCCTTCATCTGCATATTTGGATCATGTACACACTCGCACAAGTATTTCCAAATAAATGCTATGAATTTAGGGCGCCTGTTTGAATGGCATTCCTATATTTTAATCATCGGCTTTTTAAGAGTTCAGTGAAACATTTCTTGTGTCTTTTCAATTTTCAGCACTTTCACTAAATTAGTTATGTCTCCGATTCTACCGGGCGGCTACGAAACGATAAGTGAGGTTGATTTTAAAATGCTATTTTCAATATTTTTACAGCTAAACGTTAAAAAAAACACTAGGAAATATGGAAAACACATGGCGCCATCAGCATTTCAGAACAGGACAATTAACTCACCGTCGGAGTGCATTCTTGCTTTGAAGAAGTGTCACGTCCTTCGTTCCGACTTCTAGTTGGCTCACGACGGCATAGCCTTCGCGCTTTACTAAACAATGTTGACATGGAGTGTAGCAAAAACGAAAAGCTAGTCGAAACGGTCAAAGCGCTACATGTTTCATTAATCGTAAAGGATGAAGCAATAAAATCAAAAACGCAGTATTTGCCGTCACCGAAAGATGCAATGTGCACTGACAAATAAAAGAAATATGTGGCGCCATCTATCCTATCACGTGGCAACTAAAGTCATCAACCGCAACGCGACCCCCCGAGAAGGCTGCCATACTAGCTTATTCAGAGACTATCGGCCTTAATGCAGTTCTCAGCAATTATGTTCTATTCGGCCTCAAAGTCACTCCCGGCCCTTCCGCTCCTCTTGGCCGTAATGGATTCTCGGCCGTAATACGACTATCGGCTGAAATAACAGTGACCCGTTAATGTCATCCCCTGTAAGAGTGTCCTGAATTAGGCAAAAAATGGAGTGTACAAGAAGAGCGAGGTGTCCAAGGAAGGGTTCCGGCAAAAATGCCATAGAGGCTAATCCCTGGAGGAAGGGAACAAAGGGACAAAGGACAAACACAAATCTCCAAACACAGCTAGGCGACTTGTGAGCGACCGAAAACATCCGCCTGGTCCGGGTATCGAACCCGGGACCTCTCTATTACAAGTGGAGCGCTCTACCAACTGAGCTAACCAGGGGTTAGACGTCAGTAGAGCAAACGGGTTTTATCAGCTGCCACCAGTCTAACACCAACAAGGGTGAAGCTTGCAATTTAAAGTTATAATTATAATGCAATTAAATGCAAAAAACCCGGACCAGGCGGATTTTTTCGGTCGCTCACCAGTCACCTAGCTGTGTTTGGAGATTTGTGTTTGTCCTTTGTCCCTTTGTTCTCCTTCTCCAGGGATTATTCTCGTCATTCTTGTCCAGCTCGCTTACCCCTTTGCATTTAATTGTATTATAATTATAGCATTAAATTGCAAGCTTCACAATTGTTGGTGTTAGACTGGTGGCAGCTGATAAAACCCGTTCGCTCTACTGACGTCTAACCCCTGGTTAGCTCAGTTGGTAGAGCGCTCCACTTGTAATGGAGAGGTCCCGGGTTCGGTACCCGGACCGGACCATAAAAAATGCCGTCTACATTTTTAGATCCACAACACAGATTAGCTTGGAATCCCATACAATATGTAATATTGAAAAAAATATTACTTATTATTGCTTTCAATGTTTATTATTCTAAAAATAAATTGCTTCCGCTCACTTGCCTAATTTTTCGGTTGCTTGTGCATTTGTGAGCAGATGGGTTGTGTGACAACCTCAAAAAACACACTCCGGGAACCCAAGAACTAACTAAAAATTAGTAAATTTGAGAGTTTATTTATTACGTGCCAGGTGGACTTAGGATTGGAATATTTTGACGTGGAACTGAAACTGGCGATCCGTAAGCCGGCACTTTGCCTAAAATTACTCGAACGAATCGCCATGCCAAAGGACATGTGTCTGCATGGTACGTCCCAGGAGTTTCATGTGATCGGCGGCAAGTTGGACATCTAACATTTTTGTTACCTTATTGATAGGGTTCTAAAGTTTAAAATATACTTTCCAGATTCGCATCTGAAACGTCTCGATGTCAATATTGTTAACGGGATTGCTATAGTAGGCTGACGTTGTCCCCATCACCATATCTTTACTCGTCGTCCATAAACACCGCTTGCTTCTTACCGGGCACGAGCGGTGCAATTGTTCACACCGTCGACTTTGTCACAATGGCGATATCTTCACTCATTGTTAAAAACGCACTGCTTACTTTCTGCCGAGCACGAGCATGAGCGGCACAATCCTTCGTGCCCTCCTAGAAACCACATCCGACAAGTATATCGTAGTCTCCCTGTGGCCAACTTTAATATTCGCGGTTACGACGGGCAGTCGAACAAGCGACGTCTGCTGATGCACGGACTCGCTCTTCCGTTGAAAAAAATAAGTACAAACGCCTCAAGTGATATGGGCTCAACTTCGTTAAGTTCTCCCGTGTAAATGGTCGGGTTTCCGATTGGCTGTCAGACAGGGTCACTTAACAGTCTTCACCGACGCCAAATAAAACAAGCAAATGGGCTCATTCTTGGCCTCGTATAATTTAGATACACTCATCAATCCATCGAGCATCATAGTTTAGACGCACCCTTTTCATATTGCTGCCACAAAAAACTTCAATGACGCGCTGCTTATTCTCGTTCACTAAGACATCCACAAACTGCGGACCAACAGGAAGTGCCATAGGCTCCAGGAAGTTCAGCCATGGCCGGATTATGTTTACATATGAATACCGTGTATACTATGGTAATGACACGTTGTGAAATACCTTTCATATTTATGCACAGGATGCTACAGTTCCAAGACGATTACACAACTCTCCCATCTGATTTTCGCAATTTATACAAAAATGTGAAAAAGCATGTTAGCTGTTGTTGATTGCTCCAATTTGGCTTATTCAATTATATTATTGCAACTTTCGTAAAGTTATACAATTATGTTATTTGAGTAAATTCGGAACTTTAGTGTCCCAAATCTTAATATTAAAAACAAAATACAGCCGGACCATTACATATTTTTAGAAGGGCGTTGTCTAACCGGCAGTGAAGAGGCTTCAAACCTTGAATTTATAAGATGCAAGTGCGTGTTAGGACAATGGCAAATGTTGCTCCATTTCTATGTAATATGAGACTTGTGTTTGCAATTGTTTTGGCCAACGTCAATAAAAGTACGTCAATGAACAGTTGCGGAGCTCGAGCTCTGCGGGCGACACATGACTTTCTGTCACAAACCAGGGATCAGTGGCGCGGATCTTCAGTTCGATGTGAGCGCCTCGCGTGGCTGGTGATGCACTGATGGCGACGTTGGATCTGACTAGTTCCAGCAGCTGCGAGCCTAATGCTGATGATGTTTTTGGTCCGCACGCGCGCTTTTCAGGCTCTGTGTACGTCTGAATATTCGCCTCGAGATCTAACCGTGTCGCCAATATGCGGCCGAAATGGGAAACTTGCGAAAACGGGGATACCGCCGTGCGTCGTCTGCTACGGGTGCACGTTCAGAAGTGAGGACATCGACGACACCAGCCCTTTTCCGGCTGAGCTTGACACTCCTTATTAAATTTGTGATGTTTTAATTTTCGCTCCTTCTTAGTGAAAGTTGTGTTGAATCGTTTCACATACGTGAAATTACAGCAAAGCGATTATTATTAAGTCGAAAGCTTCCATATTCTTAGTGTGTTGGTTCGTATACAACCGCTTGTCCCACGTATTTCTGTTTTCTTGCACAAGCAATAGCTTTCATAAAACATTGAATGCTCATTGGAGCTGTGGTTTGATTAGAAAATTAACCCGACTGATAGCTACCCTTTAATAGACTAACCAACCAATAAATCCGTTCGTTGATTTTTAGCCGGTCATATTGCATGAAAGAAGTTAAAACTACACATTTTTTACTATTTTTACTATGTCATAAGTGGCACATTGCATTCCATTTTTAAACTTGCCGTTGTGACGCGTAACTGTAAACACGGGAAGCCTTCCAAGGTGAAGTAATTTTTAAGTTAATATTTGAACAGTATAATCACCCTCGGGGACGATCACAAGCAGGTTGAAGTGGTTTACAGTGCAAGCCTGTGTCATAAAAGACAATGACGCCAGAAATATTAGAACAGGCATCTTTTACTTTTTGCTGACTTTCTCCAGCACAAGATCCCGATTAAACGGCAAAACAAAATCGCAATCAGAGCATTACTTGAATAAACTAAAGATTAATCGATGAACAGCCCAGTCCCGATATGCGTTAGGTGAGGACGGAGGGTGATCGGCAAGTCTCGTAAAGGTCGCTAGCTCTCATCAGTAAAAGAGTGTCGCTGCGGCCGATACAGTCTGTGTCGTGGTGCGGGTCGATTGCTGGAGTTGCAGAGTTTACTGTGTTTGAATAGAAGATTATTAGTCAGAAACTTATAATATTAGCCTATTGACATCCGTGGCACACACCGAGAAGATTGAAGCGAGTGAACCCACACTACAGAGAAGATCATTTAATAACACCAACGTTGCTGCGTTGCTCGGTGGCACTTGTTCATTACACTCGCGGCAGATATATTAGAACAGTCTGTTTTACTTGTTTCAGTTGTGCTGCCAACATGCAGTTTCCAGATCGTAACTAGAAGAGCACTCTCTCCCAATCGCAACGTAGTAGAATCGTTCCGACTCCGAAAAACTTACCCACAGCATGGCACAGTAAAGGGTATTAAATATTGAGGGCATTTTTTGCTAAATGTGGATACGCGCCCGACTACACATCTCACAGGAAAAGAAGACCAAGGAGCATGTGCTAAGAAGAAGAGGAAAAGAGGCTACTGGCGCGAGCAGAGCTAGTTAGAACCGTTGGTCGATACAACATCAACCTTCAAGAGCCCTCCATATGTCTAGACTGTAAATAGGTTATATAAATCGCTTTTGTAAACCGGAGTGATCTAAATTATCAAAATAAAGGGAAACATTGACTACAGAGGAACTTAATAGCACGGCTATATTCGATACAGAACTGACTTCTCTTCATGTTAAATATTTATATTACTGCAAAAGTTAAATGTTAAAGAAATGCATCGAACCTGCGATTTCACCGCCCACAGTACCATTATTATGTTATCCGGGTCGGAATTCAATGTTTTGTAGAACTCCCACGCTGGTAAATCGAAACATATATTTAAAAATATATATACATATATTTAACATAAATAGTTCAGATCGCCCGGAGACAGGCACCCGTCGTGGTGATCCATGCTTCCCAACGTCTGCCTAGAGCAGACGACGCATTCACAAAAGCGATTATTTAAATTTAGGCCGTACATTGGTAACACAATTCGATCTTCACTGAAGCACCGGGCGGTACCGCACCATTTTCCGCTATAATTGTTTTTCCACCGACACTATGCGACAAAATAAACGCAAGAATCTACGCCGTCTCGCGCGCGAACGTGGAGAGCCTATGGGGCGGCAGTGCTTCTATCCCCGCTTTGACGATGATGATAGCGCGACAGTATCGCCACCTCTAGGTCGATCTCGAGGCCAATAGGACAGAGCGTACTCAAAAGCGAAGAGAGAAAAAGCCCCTCTCTAGATTTGCCCAGAAGGTATCTAGTCATTTGTAAGTAATTACATAAGTTGAAGGCAATCTAGTACAATGGCGCCCGAATATATTTTCCAAAGTATTCGCCTTGAAATCTCACAGATTAATGCTAGCGTTAATGCAAACTCTCAAAACGTCAGGCAAAGCTCCTTTTCGGTGTTGATACTTGCCGTTTTTTCTTGAATTTTGTCAACGGTTTTAAAACTTGTCCTTCAACTGCGTTTTCAACTTTTACAGAAGCCAGAGGTCGCAGAGTGGCCAAGTCTTGGCTGAAGGGGGAGTCGCAAACCTGGGTGACGCTGCTTTGTTGCTGGAAAACCCTGCCCGAGACATGACGAATGGGCAGGTACATCGTCATGATAAAACTG